TATAATGTTATACGATTCAAGAAAACAATATCTCCTACTTTATCGCCTGTTAAAATTTTGCATTTTAGTAAATGATCTGCAAGTTCTATAATCATTAATCTAGTACCATTACAAAGACCTTCATTGATACTAAGATTTCTAATTAACATGATAATGCAATTTGGCCTTAAACGCAATTCATGAGGAGGAAGAGATGGTGGAGATAAACTATTTAAATATTCCGGTAACAGAGCTTCACCAATATTACCATTGTCATCATTTACTGTACAGTCTATACTTGTATAAATTCGTTCCTCAGATATATCTAATAATTCAACAACTCGTTTATTAATTTCATTCACATCAGCATTTCTTGCAGAAAGTATCACACACTTCGCTATTTTATTAAATTCTTTATTTCGCATTAAATCACCGTATATATCTTCTACAATATCAGCATTAATGGGTGCAATACAACAATCTGGAAGTTCTATATTGTCATTAGAATCATTTAACATGCCATTTCCCATATCTAATAGAAATTTTGCAAATTCAGTTTCCTCTCGAAAAACTCGCATGTTTTCAGTTAATGAGAAATTTATAAAGTGTCTCCAATTAGGACTAAATTTGATAGAAAGATTCACGATTTCACATCGCGTACCATGAATCTTAATAGGAAGAAGTTGTCTGAAATCACCACCTAGTACGATAATTTTTCCACCAAAAGGTAAGTCATTATTCATAATGTCACGCAATGTTCGATCCATAATCTCTAGAGCATATCGTGGTGCCATTGGCGCTTCATCCCAAATAAAAATATCTATTTTTTTCAAATATTGAGCTTCCTTTGATTGCACTTTAATGCTAGATGATGAATCAGCAAATAATGGAACCGGCAACCCAAATGTCTTATGAACCGTTTTTCCTGCTGGTAATAATGTCGCTGCAATGCCCGTAAAAGCCATAGTACATACATGTTTATTACGAATTTTGGCTAAGTGATAAATAGTTGTATAAATAAACGTTTTGCCTGAGCCACCTGGACCATCGATATAAAAACAATTACTATTATGATTATTATCATCATCTATTCTGTTTAGTATAAGATCTACTATTTCTTTCTGCTTGTCATTTAATTGTTCATATTGTCTACTACCAACTTCCATAACTTCTTCAAGTGGTATGTAATTATCATCCTCTTCATAATTTTCTGTCAATTGCTCCATTTGTGGAAAATCAGCAAGACTCTTACCTTCAGCACAAAGCATAACATTAATTTGTACATATGCTTTCTTTTGTCCTTGTAATATTCCAAAGTGTCTAACGTAATCTTCCGACATTGCTACTTTAAAATATTCCCAAAGTTCTTCAGGATGCAACGGTTGACAATGTAACAATATACGTACAAATAATCTACGAAGTTGTCTTGGCATCATCCAGCCAACAGCTTCGTTCATAGCTCGTTTCCATTCATCATCATCTTCAATCAAACCTAAAGCTAAACATGCCGCTGAAAATGTTGGATAAACTTCTCCATTTACAGTTTTTAGATCATTAAAACTCTTAGCTCCCTTTACAGTGAGTAATAATAACCGTAAATGAAATAATTCTATTTGTGTTGGACTAACGGAATACATTCGTCCTATACAATTATAATTATTTTTACGTTTACTCCAATACGATACATTTCTGCCATTAATTTTATCTTTTTTAAATGTATAATAGCGTGGAATTTCTATATACAAATATTGTTTTGCTTCTTCATCACGAGAATTCAATGCAAAATAATCCATTAGCATAGTAACTTGATTTAAAGCAGAAGTTATTGTATCTTCGTCAGATCCATTTTCAATTATAATATTTTGTTCATTAGGAAGATGAACAGGTAATCGTACTATACTATGGCTTTTATCTTGTAATTTTTTCTCAAGAATACGCCAACTTGCTTCTACAGGCCCAACATAACGAGCTTCTATAAAATCGCGTATTTCATCATGATCTATAATTACATTTTCTGTTATTGGTTCAATTGTAATAGTAGCAGCATCATGTCCCTTATAAATATATTTATACAAATATTTAACCGATTTGATACTTGAAACAACTTCAACATTAATATGACAATTAAATATAACCGATAAAGTAGGACAATACGGAACTACATAACGATTATCAACTATATATCCACCAGGACGTTCAAAACTTTTACCATTATTTCGTCGACGATAATAAGGATAAGCATCTTCATCCATTTTCGTTTCTTCAAAATATGGTTTTGGATAATGTTTCGAACATTTTGTATCTACCAAGCACCAATCGCCACAAGGACCATGAATCATATGTTTCATAACTATGTTATGTAAAATATAATTTTCACAAGGATCAGGAATTTCAGCACAAATATATTTGTCAACGATCTGTGGAGTTGTTATTTTAAAATTATGTTTTAAAGTAATTAACATGTGGACATGTGGCAAACCACGTTTTTGAAATTCAATGACATACACAAAGGCTGCTACCTCACCAAAAAATTTTTGCTTTACAATCAAATCAATTAAATAATCTTTTTTAATATTGAATACACGTGCACAAATGTCAGGTCTATCAGAAGCTTGTTGACCATGCAAAAGATTTTCTTCGATTTCACGCCATTTTGGATTACAAGTCATTGTAATAAAAAGATCTGGTTTACCAAATTTACTAACAATTGCCATTGCATCTTGATAATTTTGTAACATATTTCGTGGTGATCCAATAAACGTGGAAGGAAGTACAACCATCTTTCCAATATGTCCATTTAAATTATTTGCCATACTTTGTATATAATCTTTTAATCCTTGATATGTTTCAGTGCGTAATTCTTTTTGATGAGTTTTACAGTAATCTGTTCTGTCCTTTTCAATTTTTACGTAATTATCTACAAGCCACTGTTGAAATAGACGACGTCCTAATAAAAAGACATTAAATTCGTCACGAATAGCCATGCGATATTTAATGTACTGTCCCCGAGTTATTCGTTTATCGCTATTTAATTTTGTTAAATGACGATGCCATCCTCGAGTACCATATGGATAAAACAGAGGATATATCCATGGTTCAACATTTGAATCCATAGTGCTAACATTTTGCAAAGTTTTCGTATTTCTATTACGTATTGTTACATATGATTCTGGAATTTCTCCATCAGAAGTTGTACGAAAAACAACAGCAACTTCATTAGTTCTTTGAACATTATATCGACGCCGATCCATACCTGGTTTTAACGTAAATGATAA